AATAACCTTAGAATGCCCCAACAATAAACTAACTATACATCAGCCGTAAATACTCAATAACCCAAGAATAACCTAACAATACCCCAACAAAAACCTAACAATAACTCAACCGTAAGCTTACAATACCCCAAGAATATCCTAACAAGATAACAATACATCAACAATAACCGTAACTTAAGAATACCCCAACAATAAACTAATAATACATCAGATGTAACCTAACAATACCTCAAGAATAACCTAACAATACCCCAACAATAACTTAACAATAACTCAACCGTAACCTTACAATACCCCAAGAATAACCTAACAATACCCCTAGAATAACCTAATAAGATAACAATACATCAACAATAACCGTAACCTAACAATACCCCAACAATAAACTAACTATACATAAGCCGTAACCTAACAATACCCCAAGAATAACATGCAGTAAGATATCAAACAGATATATATATTTCGCATTTCAACCACAATAAACAAACATATAAACCAAATCCTTAGAGTAAATAAGTCTGTCAAAATTCATAATCATTCAGCCTGTATAATATAAAGACAATCAAAGTGTTGAGATACATTTATCCTTCAAATAATTTATATCTGCAGATTTCATATAGTAGTTGTGCCCTAAATCGAGGCATCTCAGCCTGCCAGTCTTGATGGTCTTTCTAGATAATCTTTTCTTTCTGTACAATTGCTTCTATATATTTATAAATAAATATACTGCAGTCGACGCTATTACTTTGTGTGGGAATGCCTCTAGTCGTGATAACATCCCCATTACTCCAATTACTCCCCATTACTCGGGTCACTGCGGAAAGCATTCCCGGCGTCCTTACAAAGATGTCTTATCTGGTAATACAAATGGTTGTTTAAGACAGTGAAAGAATAAATAGTTGTCAGTTGTTAGTTATATAAGACTTAGAATTTTACCACGTCGCGGGTGACTCCCAAATGCATTTTATTAGGCAATGAGTCGTAGAATCTCCACTTGCAGTTCTTCTGATTCCCAACAAGTAGAGTCCAATGCCTATTATTAATTATTAGAACTAAAATTGCCTCTTTCTGAGATACAGCTTCCACTATGACGTGGGCAACAATATCTCGAAGATGATGGTATCTAAACCCCTGCATATACAAAATAAATGAGTTTAAAATAGCATGAATAGTTAATATTAATGAGAATTTTATTACTTACCCAATGTGCTAGAGAGACGTACAAATAGGGTCTAAAAGAATCAGGGGACCGACGTTGACAGTTATCTAATCCAATGGCAAACAAATCTACATGTTCTACCCCTACTTTTTTATTATCCCAAAGTGCTTCAAGGTCATTTCGACTTATATGAATGTGACCCCGAGCAATTATTATGTCATCCATGCATATTGATTGAACAATATTTATTAAATTTAATAAACAATTAACAGAAAAAGTGTTCTGTTTTTTACATACCTTTCTTTGTACATTCTTAAACAAGTATCTATCACCTGTTGCATGTGCGATGGTAGTAGTTCTCTGCCGGGGAACTCTACGGCTGAACAAGGGAGGACACCTTCGTATGGAATAATTGCACCCGACTGTCATCCCAAGCGTCATCAGCCTCCTCTTCCCTAGCTTCATCGAGCCGTGGAGATGGTATGGTAATCGGCGTAGAAGAATCATAGATATGCTGTACTAAATCTTCTATATTTGAGGTCGGAACTTCTTCCATCTTCTTTCTCTTTACAATAACAAATGGAGAACTAACCATCCTCTTTTTCCTCGGTCCTCTGAACTTCATCCTTCGGATTAAGTTAACAATTAGGTATTTAGGGATGCCTTCTCCAGGTTCCCCGACACCTTTATTAGTTTCACTATCAGCTGCAGCTTTATCGAAGGCAACCATTCTACCTATCGGTTGTTCTTCTTCAAGAATATCGGGCCCCACTCCTGTTCCGACGCTTGCTCAATATAAGCAGGTGGTTCTTCTTCCTTTGCTGGGCTTTCTTTCTTCCCAATTCTTTCTTCCCAAACAAGAGATTCCCCATAAATTCCGCCCCTACCAGAGCTTCCCTGGGAACTTTATTTATTTTTTTTCTTTATTTTGTTGATGTCGGTCTTCACCTCCATCAGTGTATACTCCAAATTTTATTTTAGGTTATTTACTGAATCCTTTAATTGAAATAAAATGTGAATGTGTAGGTGGCAGGATGCTGCAAGTATGTATAAAAGGAATAACACCATGAGACTCTGATATTGTTCGATGAGTGTGAATTTCGGGTTCTCCAATGGACTTTGCAGGAGACGAGATCAGGCCAACTAGAGGGGCAAGTAAACTGTGTTCCTCGTCTATTAAATCAATAAAAGAATCAAGAACTTACAAAAAAGATTCATTATAAGAATTAAATAAGGTGGTCAAATACTAAACATAATCCTGAACTTAAAACAGACATTAATATCATTCACCAGTACAGGACTAAGCATCTTAAAGATTAAATGAATCCTCAGAGGGTTCCACCCTGTATTTATTGGCCACCTCAACATACGATGTCTGGCGTCAGTCTGATGTCTGGCGTCAGGATAAGCCGGGGCTATCACAAGTGTGCGCTCATAAAACCACAGCTACATAAACACGATTAATAAATCAGAAATTCACTAAATGAGAAATTCATATAACCCAAATAAGATGAAAATAAAATTTTTTGATTGAGGTTGAGCAATATACTAACTGTTTGAAGAAAAACAAACCCGTTCATGTATCCCAATGGCTGACCCATCCTTATTTTCATGACGCAAGCATTGACCTGCTCAATTAGGTGGTCATATACTGTTGTGGCCCAATTAAATGAAGAAAAACTATCTACATTCTCAGCAAATGAATAGAGCCATGTGGGTACACTAAAATTGTTGGAAAGAAATAATAAATTAGATAACAAAAAATTAATAATAAGTTCATCAAGACTAGCAGATGAACTCTCCAATAGTTCACTCTTTGCTCGCCTTGCATCTACATCATTGACGAGTTTTTTAGCCCAAGTTGTTGTAGGACCTCTGTTGGGCATGCCAATCAACAAAGCAACTTGATTTGCATCAAAACTCATCTCTTTCCCCCCCAATCTGAAAGCCAATCTGTTCATATCCCAACAATTCAATAAGTGCATAGTCAGGATGTGATCTTGAGGATAGAGGGGCAGATCAAAAAACTGATTAAGCTTAATTTTTTCCAGAATTGACCATGTCTCCCGAGAGACAATTGGTCGAACCTGATCCAAAATCTTTCTAACTGCTGATGGTCGGCATCTACAATTCATTGACTGTTTATTCATCAACGTATAAGAATAAGATGTTTGTTCTTAATACTGGAATAACCAAAGAATGTTTATTCATCAATATACAAGAATAAGATGCATGTTATTAATATTGTTATTAATACTGGAATACCCTAAAACTACATTAACAATAACCTACGAATAACCTACGTAGAACATAAAAATTAACAAAATAATACCTTAAAAATAACTCAAGAATAACCTACGAATAACTTATGCATAACTTAAAAATAAAATACAAATAACCCAGGAATAAACCATGCATTACTTTAAAATTAACAAAACAATACCCTAAAAATAACCCAGGAATAACCTACGCTTTACTTCAAAATTAACAAAGCAATACCCTCAAAATAACTCAAGAATAACCTATGAATAACTTGCGCATAACTTAAAAATCATCTGTAAATAACCCAAGAATAACCTAAAAATCACTTAAAAATATCATCAGAATCACCCAAGAATAACCTAATAATAACCTACGCAGAACTTAAAAATTAACAAAATAATACCTTAAAAATAACCTAGGAATAACAAAAAAATAACCTACTCATAACTTAAAAATAACCTGCAAACAACCTAGGAATAACCTACACATTACTTCAACATTTAGGAATAACCTACACATTACTTCAAAATTAACAAAACAATACACTAAAAATGACCTACAAATAACCTACAAATAACCTGACATAACCTAAAAATAACCTATAAGTAACCTGCGCATAAATCTGCAAATAACTTAAAAATAACTCGGGAATAACCTACGAATAACCTGCGCATAAATTAAAAATCACCTGCAAGTAGCTTAAAAATAACCCAGGAATAACCTAAGAATAAACTAAAAATAACCCACGAGTCAACTTAAAAATAACCCATGAATAACCTACGAATAACTTGAAAAATAACCTAAAAATAACTTAAAAATAACACAGGTTTAACCAGAGAATAAAATACGCCCAACTTACAAATAACTTACAAAATAATTTAAAAATAACACATGAATAACATGGAATAACTGTCAATAATACTACACTTCGGAGTAACTCAAAAATAACCCAATAATAACCTAAAAATAACTAAGGAATAAACTATAATAGCTGCCAATAAGTACTAAACTAAAGAGTAACTAAAAAATAACCTAAAAATAAACTAAGAATAAATTACAAAATAAACGATGAATAAAGCATAAACAACACAATATTAACAGATTAACACAGTAGTAACATGAGAATACATTTCTAAGTAATTCATGTATAACCAAACTAATAACCTAAAAAAAACCTGAGAATAAAACGATGACAATTACCAGGATAAGTTTTTCCATTCAATGCCCTCCTTCATCCTCTTCGCATCCTTCTTCTTCCTCTGCTTCTTTGACTTCATCGGCTGCTCAACCTCTGTCTTCTCAGCCTCTTTTGATACTGTTCTTGAGCTCTCTTTAACCCGCACATACTCCGGATCATCAAACGCCATCGTCTTACGACTTCGAAGCTATCAAACGAGTGAAATGTAAAACCTTAGCAGAGCCAGCGACGAAAATGTAACAAAAAAACCAGCGGAGAGTTTTTTAAATGTCTTCCCGACATTCTTAAAGGGCGGGATACTCGAAGAGTCGCGAGTTCGTACATCAGGCCGGGTAGGGTGAAAACGGGTCCACATTTTCCACGAGCCAAAGTCTGCTCGTAAACAAGCGGAAGGATCAAGGGCGGGAGCAAGCCAACCATGCCAGAGCTCCCGGAGGTCGAGGCGGCGAGGAGAGCGATAGCGGAGCACTGCGTCGGCAAGAAGGTCCGACGATCTGTCGTCGCCGATGACTCCAAGGTGATCGAGGGCATCTCCCCATCGGAGCTCGAATCAGCTCTGACTGGAAAGACCATCGTGGCCGCACTACGCAAGGGCAAGAACCTATGGCTCCGCCTCGACTCTCCACCATTTCCTTCCTTCCAGTTCGGAATGACTGGCGCTGTTTACATCAAGGGCGTCGCTGTGACGAAATACAAGAGGTGTTCTGGCGTGTCAAGATGAAAATGTCGGCGTTTGGTTTCTCATTAGGTTTTTGCTGACAACGCATTGTGGTGTTTTTTGTAGGTCTGCGGTCAGCGATAATGATGAATGGCCGTCGAAGTTTTCGAAAGTATTCATGGAGGTATGAGGCTTGTTGTATCTATTTGTTATTATATCCGCGTTTGTTGATGCTTGTTCGTCTAGCAATGATTTATTTCCTCCCGAGAAGATGTGTGACTGTTTTAATTTTACAGGTTGTTTGTTTTGGTGAATTTGAAATGAAGTTTTTTTATCCTAGTTATTTTTTTGTTTTGATGAGGATTGAGGAGTAGAGAAACCAAATTGTAACTAAAGGCTGGCCAAACAAAATTGTTCTCAAATCTGTTTTTCTCGCGAAAGCTTAATAAGGGCTAACCACTTATTATTTTTACACTAACATACTTTCATATCGAGGCACAACCTTCCTGAATCTCATGATCCCAGTTACATCATCTATTCTAAAAACACTTATTAAGAAGAGTGAATTATAGTTTGTCCAGAACACCAATGATCAAACCTTCATTCAATCCAAAAAATCTGTACCTGGCTAATCATTTGGTATTTCCATGCCAAAGTATTTTTTTTTTCAAGTAAGTAATGTGCTGTAACCTAATTTTCGTTGTTCATCTCAAAGTAAATTCTTTCGAATTTGGCATATTAACTTTGGAGAGGATTATTTTTAAATGCATTCCATTTGTGGTGTATGAAATGGTCCCTTGTATGAAGCAGGTCCTAGGCGATCGTTAAGATTTTTTAAATTTGTTGAATACATTTGCTGTGTATTGCAGGAGAGAATCCCTTGATATTGAGAAATGTAATTTTTTACCTTAATGCAACAAGACGAGTGACATTCTTTTCTTGATGTCTTGTTAAATGCTTTTGTGTTTGTTAGCAATCAATCTCCTCTGTAGGGATTTCAACAACCTGCAAAAGAAGTCCTCCTTTTACTATTTTCATCTGCGTAGATAATGATAATATTTAGCTAAGTAAGTTCCCATATTAACCAGATAAAATTTTTGTTTTGGGTGCACCATTCGCTTTTTAGCATGCCCTAAAATGGAGTAAAATTTAAGAGCAAACCAAACAAACATAATATTACCTTTAGCTTCATGATAAGGCACACACTTTGTTTTGCTCTTTGAATTTGCTTAATTTTATGGGTGTTTAAGAAGTTTTTATATATCTCAAATATAACAAATGCTTTTTCAATAAAGTTTTAAAATAGTCCCTGACTATTTATATTGGGTCATCCTGATCCCAGAGTTTATAAAATTGATAAATTAGTCCTTGGACTGTTTTAATGGGGCCTAAAGTTGTCCTCATTAGGGACTATTTCAATCCATATTAAAAGAGTTTGAGGACTAAATTGACACACTTATAAACTATGTGACTAAAATGACCCCTTGCAAAAAGTAAGGGGTTTATTTTGACACTTTCCTCTTTTTCAATATCATTGGCCTGTTAGATCATGTGAAAAGCTTACAGAAGCAGCAATAGTTCATGATTCTTCAAAGTTGTATGAAAAATTTGTCACGAACCTATGATATATGGTAGTCATCTTTGTTCTAATTAGGGTCAAGTGTGAGAGCAGCATTTTCATGTGCTTGATAATTTTTTGATGTGATTTAAATGTTTTCAAACATGTAATAAATCTGGTTCTGATTTCAGTTGAAGTATAATAACTGCATAAGGACGGACTAAATTACTAGCTTATTTTACATGAATTTCTTGAAACGCAACTTTGTTGGTCAAGCAAAATAAGGCATTTTTAACAACAAAACATTTCAGTATAATAAGTCAATCAAACAAAAATTTTACCACAATAGATTTCAATAAAATAAGTCACTAAGGATTGCCCATCAGTCAGCTTAATTATTGATATTTGCAAAAACGATCCCATACGATGAATTTGCAATGCAAATTATTGTCATCAGGAATGATTTTCTAATTGGATATCTGATGTTTCACAAAATATCTGATTAAGTAGAGGAACTAGATGTAGATCTATTATAGGGGAAATATCGACTGCAATGCAGGAAATGGCTGAATGAAACCCTATTCTAGATTTGGCGGAGAAAAACTCTAAAGTGTAGCTTGAAACTTGAGTTGCCTGATGATTATAAAAATACCTGAAATAGTTTGTTTGTAGAAGTATGTAAATTAAATAGAAAAGGCTATTTGGTGGCCTCCTGAAGCAGCATCACAAAAGATGAGTGGTTATTCGACCACTATTTGCCAAATTTTCTTGTCAATCAAGCTTAATTTATTCTTACTCTTAACTTGCATTAAATTAAAATTTAGAGGCATTTATGTAAATACCATAAATTCTTATATATTTACATTTCTAATAACTAAACTTTCATATTTACATAACACTCAAATCTTTGACATCACATAAAAAAATGCCGTTATCCCCAACTTTTTAAAGTGAAATTCATCTTTTGATGCATAGGTTTTTAATATCAAGGTGTTACACATGTAAATATCAAACTCTAAGTGTTAAACATGTAAATGCATAAGAATTTTGTGGTATATATGTAGATTTCCCTAAAATTTATCATGGATTGTAAATGTATTTTTACTCTTCAGTCAGTAAATATTTTTGCTTTATGCAGCTAGAAGATGGTTTAGAGTTGTCTTTTACAGATAAGAGACGTTTTGCCAGAGTTCGCTTGCTTCAAGATGTATTAATCTTAACTAATTTACGTTGCTATACGGATTTGTTTTTTTTTTTGCACCACCTTATGAGTATTTAGTTTCGTGCTTCTACTAATGCATTCCATTCCTGCAGCCAGAGACAGTGCCACCAATTTCTGAACTTGGTCCAGATGCTATGCTAGAGCCTTTGCAAATCGATGAGCTTGTAGAAGCTTTAAGCAGACGGAAAACTGCAATTAAGGCCCTACTACTTGATCAGGTTGACTCATGTTTACTTTTTTTACTCGTCTTGTTATTTGCTTGTTGAATAATTTATTGAAAAAGTAAAAATGTTGGAAGTTAAGGTACATTTTTGGAAGTGAAATTGATAGTTATGAGTTAATTTTGTTTGAGTATTATGTGATAAGTTGGTGTGATAAGCTCTTTTTAGTCTATTGTGCAAAATAATATAGATATAGATGGGACAATTCAGGTTGGATGGTTAACAGAGAAGCTTCTTGTCATTAAAATACACTCAAACTTCAAATTAGGAGTTTGTAATGATCAATTTCTGTTCACTTGCATGTTTCTAGTGTAGATTTGGTTGTGATTTAGAATTTTGTTGTGCATTTAAAATAATGTATATTGCTGTACGATCCAGAATAGATTTATCACAGAAATTAGGACAAACACATTTATTTCAAGAACACCAAATCAATGCAATACAACACGAATACATAAAGATATTCCTTACAATTTGAGAGGTAGACGATCTCTCCCAAATCCTACAATTAGAGGTAGAAAATCTCTCCCAAACCCTAACCCAAACACTCAAGCAAACAATCTCATCCATCACCCTAACCCTAAACTATTAAGCTCTGTTTATACCAAACAATAATTAATAACAAAAGACAATTATTTTGAGACTTGCAAAAGACAAAACTGCCCTTAGGGTAAGCACCTACATAACAATATTTCCCTCCCAAATAAGCACATTGTCTTCAAAGTGGATAAAAGAAAACTGCTAATAGATCAAGCTTGTATGCTTTCTCATTACACACTGCGAGAACCTGTGATGTCTGATCCTTGTAACAATGCCATGGGGCAAAATTCCTCTTTGCTCTCCTCTCCAAAATCTTTTTCTCTATAAGACATTTGAATTTCGCCCTTTTTTGTGACCCATTATTCATGTCTTAGGGAGCTTCCCTCTGGACTTTCACTGTTTAAGTTTTTTGTATCGTCGTGGTTGTATTTCGGTATGATGCTCCACTTGTGCTGCTTCAATTAGCCTGATCAATTGCACTTTTATCATTAATCAATTGCGCTAATTCTATAATTTCCCTCAATTCTCACAGTTTCAGTGGACAAAGAGCTGGACGTATGTCGGGATTTAGACCCTTCATAAAATTTTCCTCCAATGCTGCTTTACAAATCCCGATCAGCCGGCTCGCCATTAGCTCAAATTTCTTCTTATATTCCACGACAGCCCCCTTTTGAGTTAATGCAAAGAATTGTTTGTGTAGATCTTCTTTCAGACTAAGTCAGAAACGTTCTAACAAGCGGTCTTTAAATTTCTCTCACGAGTGGATTGGGTATATAGCCTCATTCTATTGAAACAATGCTAGGGCTTTCCCCTCTAAACATAACCCTGTCGCTATGAGCTTCTCCTCCCTATTAAACCCATTTATCGAAAATATCACTCCATCCGGTACACCGCATCGTCTCTCTCGAAGATCGACCTCTTCAACTTCATAACCCTAGCATCTCCACCCCAACCTTTTCTCCCTCTAGTGTTTCCCTCACGTACCTAGGATAAAACTTCCTCTTTCAATCACAATCATACCCCATTCAACTTCTCTCATTCCTTCAACACGCTCCTCCGTACCCCTTGCATAACCAGTTTTCAATGTTTCGACTCAACTCTCTCAATAAGAAATCTAGTCCCCCCTTGCATACGCCTTGTGTAGCCCCTTCTCCATGTTTCAATCCAACCCTCTCGATCGGAAATGTCTAATCCTTCCCCCATCGGACCCCCAGGAGGATTTTCTTGATAGTTGATTTTCTTCTTTCTCATGTTCCTCTCATTCTTTCCCTTTCATTTAGCAAATGATTTTTCGATCAATCTTTGGTTAGGGTTTGTAAATTGTCGACTGGATCTTAGATTGCATCTCAATAAGCCTTCTTATCATCTCCTTCAAGCTCTCGATGGGTTGTCAATGGAGGAAAACCTTTCGTCTATGGTTAAGAACCTTTCCTCTGTCCCATATTTGAGTAGTCCTACTTCTCATTCCAATCTCTCTTCCAAAGCATCCACTTTCCTTGTTGCCATCACTCAATATGTTGAATTCCAGTCGATGGATTCCCAGGTAGTTCGAATCTCATCTTTAGCAATTCCTATGAGTTCTTCTTAAATCCGATCGATTGCGTCTGTATTGCGAGTTCTTCAATCCGATCGCATCTGTACCTCGTCTCAACTATCTCGCAATTTCTGCAGGCAAAAATGACGCCTGTATACTATGATCTCGTTGGTCTTCTCAACTAAAATCGCCACTGCATCGCAGGGCTCGGTCACAAAGAGGTAGCGCGTATTTCACGCAAACAGTGTCTCTTGCTTTTTAATGCTTTCTGTCGTGATCTCGTTGTGATTGTACCTCAACTAAAAGTACTCCATGATCTTATTGTGCTTCCCATAGGTAGAGTCTGCGATCTTGTTGTTGATTTCTCAGAAATCGAGAGCCCTGACACAATTTGGTGTGATTTTTTGGTTTCCCAGACAGGCTTTCGCCAAGCGACCAATGCCATAAGAACCCCTTTCTTGAACTTTTTTGTAAGAAACACCTCCGACATTGTGTGAGAGGAAGGCTCAACTAGGAACTCTTAGGTATCTTCATCACTGCCATCCGTTTCCGCTGGACTCAATTTTCTTCTTGAACAATCAAAAGCAGCTCCGACTAGCTGAGTCTCTCTGCCTTCAATTCTTTCAACTTCTCATCTGTCTCGACCAGCTTTTGTTTGAGCTCCACCATATCCCGATACTCCTGGTGGACAATTGCCTACTAAATGTGAGATAATTGTCAGGTCATTAGATGGTACTTATCGGTCGTTCAACACAGGCTGGCCAAGATCTCTTTCTGCATGCTTCTTGAAAGCTCCAAGACCATATCACATTATCTGTAGGCCATATCTGGAAAGCCAAAGCTGCAATTCTTTTGAAGATTTATCAGAGCAAATTTACCTCATGGACCGGTCCTCACCTTTGCCTCCTCGGACTGCATGGGGATCCACCTAAATGAGGGCCCCTTGTGCTTCTTTCCAGACAACAAGGGGAGTAGCTTGTTTAAGTTGGTCGCCAGGGCCTTTCTCTTCCAACGACGGTTTTGTCGAACGGTTCCCCTGATGCTATGGCAGTGTCCCCGCAAAAGATCCGATCAAGTCAGCAGTTACAAGGCAGCTGGTTTTGTCCTTCATGAACAATACCAGGGACATCAGAGTGACTGACTGAGGGTTGGCAGACTCTGTCTCCTTTTTTCCCATCATGGCCTCCTCCTCACGGTGGCTCGGCTTTTCTCGACTCATTGTCCTCTTGGCATGCAATTGTTGTGCACCTCAAGAACTTGCAACCAACAAAAAACTTTTATCTTTCCCAAGAAATGTTGGTCTCTTGATTAGAATTAGTTCATTTACCTCAACTCTTTGAAAAATAACCATGGAAGGGGTAACAGAGTAAGCAATATCCGCACATGCCAAACCTTTGGGCCCCATGGCCGGAATCACCTTGGGTACTGGTTGCTTTTCTGTCCAGCAGCAACCGAGCGAGCTTTATTCTTTGTTTTTTGAGCAGCCACTGCGCCTTCCTCTCTGCTTTATAGGTGTTGAAGGCTTCCCAATCATCCTTGGTTATTTCCCTAAGGATGTGAGACTGCAGCACCTTATTTACAAGTCACAGCTTGAACTGACAGCTTGCTTCCTTCCATCTTGCTAGCCTTCAGCAATACCCTTGCAGCCGTCTTCCTCTTCATCTTTGAAGGGATGTTCACGGATGGGACTGTTCGGATTTGCAGCCCTCGTGGGGAGGAAGACAGACAGAATTGCTGCATCCAGTCATTCACTTTGTTCTTCAATTCCAACTGTTGAAATTTGTCGACCGAGGAGAACTTGAATGAGATTTTTCTTTGCATTAAATTCTTTTATTCTTATCACAACATTATTTTCAATAAGAGAACCGAGGAATTAAAATATGTACGTAAAAAGATGTTTGCTCCGATTTTAAAGAGATCTAACGGTCTATAAGAGAAGGATATAACAGAGGCTGATCCACTGCAAGGAGATCTTGAGACCCATCTGAATGAACGAGCCAAGGCTGCCAAGCCATGCTAGGTAAGTCAACTAGGCCAAAACCGACTGAGCCAAAAAACGAACAAGGAGACGATATGGTGATCCAAGTGTAAGCAATTCGACCTAAAACGAAATAAGAGAGCATCCGAGCCATCCACTGCAGGAAAGCCGTCTCGAGATGACAGTGGAGCAGACCCAATGGAAGAGCCAGTCTAGCCAAGTATCTCCGATCATTTCACAGAGCCGAAAACTCCTCACCAAGGATTGAAGATGTTGGGAATGTGCACAATGATTCCATAAATGATATGTTTTGATAAGCATATCATATTTTAACAATTCCTTTAGATATGTAGGAGGTGCACAATTATTTCTTAAATGGTGCTTTTACTTCTTTTAATCTTCCATTTAACAACATTTCATCTTAATTTGCTCATAGCTTTGGTAAGAGTCAAGTCAAGCAGTTTATTTATGCCAAGTCATAAATTTTTACTTGAAAGTTCCAAATTGTTTTTCGTAGGCAGTCATTTTGTTTCAACATTATCCCTTTTTTGTTCAATTTATTGTACTAGTTGGGAAAATCTCTCATATTTTACCTATTAATTACATTAAGATGATGACATGCAGCAGACCCAAAAAAACAAGCACTAAATATGGTATTTCAAATCAGCCAGCAGGACATTCCTTGTAATAAATAGATATCGAATCGTGTGCATACAAGATTCATATATTAAGCTATCAATTCAACACAAAAGAGTTTAAAAATGTGATCATTATCTATACTAGCCGAAGGGGAGTAAACTCGGCTCGTATTCTACTCGTTAAAAAATACTATTGTTCATATTCGACTCATTATAATATCAAACTCAAAAAAATTGTGTGTTTGGCTCGTTTGCTTAGCGAGTCAGTACGTGTTGTTCGCGAACAACGAGCCATTTTGACATTGTT